TCTGAATCCTGTTGGCCATCCTGATCGTTCTCAGTGTCACTGTCGCCGTTTTCGTTTGTTTCTTCTTCCTGATCGCCTTCTGTTTGCTCATCGTTCTTCTCATCGTCAGTAGTTTCGCTGTTATTGTTTTTTCCGTCGTTAACATTTTTATCACACTCATTATCACTTTCATTATCATTTGCTTCTTTTTCACTTGCATCGTTTCCATTATAATCTTCTTTTTCATCAGTGTTATTTTCGTTGTTCTCATTGCCTTCTGAATGCTTTTGGCCATCGTGATCTTTCTCAGTGTCACTATCGTCGTTTTCCTTTGTTTCTTGTTTCTGATCGTCTTGTTTCTCGTCCTTTTTTTCATCGTTGTTATTTTCTTCATCATTGTCTTCTTCGGAGTTAACATTTTTATCACCTTCATTATCACCTCCATTTTCACATTCGTTATCATTTGCTTCTTCCTTGCTATCATTCTTATCACCTTCGTCATTAACCTGGTTGTCAGTTGTCTCCCGTTCATTGCCTCTATCACCGTCTCGTTTATCGTCTTTGGTTTGCTTTTCGTTTTCATTGTCTCCTGAATTCTGTTGATTATCCTGATGATTTTCAGCGTTACCCCCCTCGCTTTCGTTTATTTCCTTCTTCTCATCACTCTCTTCTTGCTCATCTGTCTTCTCGTGTTTATTATCTTCCTTGTCGTTTTTCTCTTCGAAACTACCACTTTCATCACCTCCATTATCACTTTCGCTATCGTTTGTTTCTTGTTCATTGAAATCGTCCTTATTACCTCCTTCTTCTTCATCACTGCCTCCTTCTTCTTCTAAATTCCGTTGTTCGTCTTGACCATTGCCGGTTTCGCAATTGTTGGTGTCATTCGTTTCTTGTCGTTCCTCTTGCTTATCACTTTGGTTGCCTTCACTCTCATTGCTTTCTTCGAAGTTAACGTTCGTCTCACCTTCATTATCGGGTCTATCTTCGCTTTGGCTATTTTCATTCATTTTTTTTATTTCACCATGCTCTCGTTGCTCCTCTTTATTATCATTACCACTATCATTATCATCGTTATCATTACCGCTGCTGTTAGTATTCTCTTTGGAATCACCATTCTCATGACTTTGGGTGTTATGTTTATTCATATTCTCTTCATGGCAGTTTTTTTCGTCTTCATCTGTTTTTGTATCTTCATGTGACTCATCTTGATTACTATTGCCAAATTTTATCTTTTGATCATCATGGGAAGAGCCTTTATGTTTAGTATGTCTCTCTTCATGCCAATCACGATATTTGTTATGTCTACTGTTTTCTTCATCGTTGCGATAATGTCTACTATTTCCATCGTTGTTTATGTAGTTATACTGTTGCTGGCGATTACTCCTATCATCTTGATAGCCAGTGTTATAGTCATTGGAGTCGTAGCTGAAATCGACGAAATGATACCCGCCATCACCTTGATTATTTTCATATTCCTCATATTGATTGGCGGAGTTTAAATTTTTGTTGTTCACGTCGTAGTACTGATAGTAGTTTCTTCCAGGCTGTCTATACTCACGATTTTCATCATTGTTTAAATAATAATAGTTCTTGCCTTGATTAATCTCAAAATATTCATAGTCGTCGTTGTACTTATTGTCACTATCACCGTGACGACTGGGGTCATAGGATTGTCTTTTGACATATAAGTAATCTTTTCTATTCTGATTATTTTCATTATCTTTGTTGTCCGTCCCATCATACTCTTCATACTCGTGTCGATACTCAAAATTGTCTTTTCCTTTTTCACTGCGGTGAGTGCTTTTCATGTCGTTTTCACCGTTTTGATAATTTTCGCGACGGTTAATCTCATAATTCACGTTACTGACATTGCGATTATTACTTTTATCACCATCTTTTATCATCTCGTCACCTTGATTATAGTCATCACTTTGATAATCATTTTCATAGTCGGAATCATTGCGTTCGTAGTTATAGCGACCATAATTGTTGTTTTCAGAATAAAACTTTTTTCCATGGTTGTTATTCTTACGATAGTGGCTTTGATAATTAAATTCCTCTGTGTTCTCTTCACTCCGTTCGTTACTTTCGTTCAAGCCGTCGTTTTCTTCATTTTGCCTCTTCTTCGTATCGTCTTGAAAGCTGCCTTTCACCGTTTTCTTGTCGTCACTGTGTTCTTCAATATCATTACCGCTGATCTTTTGATTTTTTTCGCTACTACCTTCTTTCCGACTCTCTGTACCAACGTTAAAATAATAATTTTGTCCACCTTGATTATTTCCATT